ATTATATTAATAGCTAAGAAATATAAATAAAAAAAATCATTAAAGTTAATCAATTTAAGGGGGCTATTTGAGGAATAAAAAATTATTATAAATAAAATTTTAGCTTGACAAGCTAACGTTATAATTTAACTAAATTTTTTTTTTCATTAGAAGTAGGTGTAAATTTACTATTAATGATTTAAAAGTTCATTGCTTACTTTCAGCCATCTAATGAAATTTCAATTATTTTAGAAATTCATTTAATAAAAGTTAGGGGAAATTCTTTCACAACAATTGGTATAAATCTATGATTAGCCCCACAAATTTCTGAACATTGTCCATAAAATAATCCTGTTCGATTAATAGAAAATCTAATCTGGTTTAAACGGCCGGGTGTAGCATCAATTTTAACACCTAGAGAGGGGATAGTTCAAGAGTGAATAACGTCAGCAGCTGTAATAAGTATACGAATTTGAGATTCGTATGGGATAACAATTCGGTTATCGACGTCTAATAGTCGGAAGTTAAAGTTTTTTATTTCATTTATAGGGATTATATAAGAATCAAATTCAATATTTTTAAAATCAGTGTATTCGTAGGATCAGTATCATTGATGTCCGATAGTTTTGATAGTAATTATTGGGTTATTAATTTCATCAAGGATGTAAATTAGACGTAATGAGGGGATTGCGATAAAAATTAAAGTAATAGCAGGTAAAATAGTTCAAATAATTTCAATGATTTGGCCTTCAAGAAGATAACGGTGAATAAATTGATTAAAAAATAGTATAATTATTAGCTGTCCTACTAAAACTGTAATAATTACTAAAATTATTAATGTATGGTCGTGAAAAAAAGATAATTGTTCTATAAGAGGTGAGGCCCTATCTTGTAAAAGTAGTGTTTTTCATGTTAAAATTTCTAAAAAAAGTTTAAACTTTATATTTGGGGTTTAAATCCAATGCACTACTCTGCCATATTAGAAATTTGTTAATATAGGTAATTCAGAATATCTATGCTCACTAGGGGGTAGGGCTTGTAACCATTCAATTGAAGTTGTTACATTTAAAGTTCTCAAAGATTTACGTTGGGAAGAAAGCCTTTCTCATAAGATAAATAAAAAAAAGATAATTCTTTGAGAGAAATAATGGAACCAATAGATGAAATGGCATTTCAGATAGTGAAAGCATCTGGATAATCCGAATATCGCCGAGGCATTCCTCTTAGCCCTAAAAAGTGTTGAGGAAAAAATGTTAAATTTACACCTAAAAATATAGTAATAAATTGGGTTTTTAAAAAAAAATTATTTAAGGTTAGTCCAGTAAATAATGGGAATCATTGGACAATTCCGGCTATAATTGCAAATACAGCTCCTATAGAAAGAACATAGTGAAAATGAGCTACTACATAGTAAGTATCGTGAAGAATAATATCAATTGAAGAATTAGCTAAAATTACCCCTGTTAATCCTCCTACTGTAAATAAAAATACAAAACCTAAAGCTCACAGGGTTACTGGTCTATTTAAAATTTGAGTTCCATGAAAGGTGGCTAGTCATCTAAAGACTTTAAATCCAGTTGGAACCGCAATAATTATAGTTGCTGAAGTGAAGTAAGCTCGGGTATCTACATCTATCCCTACTGTAAATATATGGTGAGCTCAAACTACGAATCCTAATAATCCGATAGCTATCATGGCATAAATTATTCCTAAGGTTCCAAAAGCTTCTTTTTTCCCCCCTTTCTTGTCTAATAATATGAGAAATTATTCCGAATCCAGGGAGAATTAAATATAAACTTCAGGGTGGCCAAAAAATCAAAATAAGTGTTGGTATAAAATAGGATCCCCCCCTCCCGCAGGGTCAAAAAAGGATGTATTTAAGTTTCGATCAGTAAGAAGTATAGTAATTGCCCCTGCTAGTACTGGTAGAGAAAGAAGCAAAAGAATAGCTGTAATTATAACTGCTCAAGAAAATAAAGGCATTCGATCTATCCTTATACCATTTGGTCGCATATTTATAATAGTTGTAATAAAATTAACTGCTCCTAAAATAGAAGAAATTCCGGCTAAATGTAGTCTAAAAATTGCTAAATCAACGGAAGATCCTCTATGGGCAATATTACTTGCTAAAGGGGGGTAGACAGTTCAACCTGTCCCGGCTCCTCTTTCTACTAAACTTCTTAATATGAGGAATCTTAATGATGGGGGTAAAAGTCAAAATCTTATATTATTTATTCGGGGAAAAGCTATATCTGGTGCCCCCAGTATTAAGGTACTAATCAATTTCCGAATCCCCCAATTATAATAGGTATAACTATAAAAAAAATTATAATAAATCGTGTGCAGTAACAATCACATTATAAATTTGGTCATTTCCAATTAGAGAGCCCGGGTTTCCTAATTCGGCTCGAATTAAGATTCTAAGTGAAGTTCCAGCTATTCCAGCTCAAGCTCCAAATAGGAAATATAAAGTTCCAATATCTTTATGATTCGTAGAGAATAATCATTTATTCAGTAAGATGGCTGAGCATAGGCAATAAATTGTAAATTTATGAACGAAATGAAATATTTCTCTTACTAAGCTTTATATTCAAAAATGATATTAAATTGCAAATTTAATGGTAAAGTTAAACTTTTAAAGCTTAACAGATATTAATTTTAAAACTTCTAGCCAATTAAGGCTTAGAAATTTCTATTCTATATTTAACTTTGAAGGTTAAAAGTTTAATTTTAACTTAAATCCTTTAGTCCTTCAAAGTTAAATTTTACACGTCCTTATTTTTAATTCAAAATAATTTTTAGTAAGCGAGAGAGAGTAAATTGCTCAAAATTTAATTTTATTTACTAAAATATTAAAATTTAAAAATTAATCATTATTGTACAATAAATTAACCCAGTTAAAGCTAATACATTAAAAAAAATTATTCAAAATTTTATAGAAAAATAAAAATTTAAGAGTATTTCTGTTTTAATTAAAAGAAATGCTGAAAAAGTTAATCGTATATAAAAAATAATGTGACTAATGTAAAAACAATTAAAATAATTCTTAAACTAAAAAAATTTCTATTAATTAAACCATTGATAGTTAGTCATTTTGGAAGAAATCCTAAGAAAGGAGGTAAGCCCCCTAAAGATAAAAAATTCATAAAAAAGAAAAATCTGAATATTTTATTAGAGTTAAAAATTAAAAATAATTGGGTAGTGAAAAAAATATTTAAATATCAAAAAATTACTACTAAATTTAAATTAATAATTGAATAAATAATAAAATAAAAAATTCAAATTATTTTAAAATTTATTATTCTAGCGAGTATTCAAGCAATATGATTAATGGAAGAATAAGCTAAAATTTTTCGTAATCTAATTTGATTAAGGCCTATAATTCCTCTAATAATTGAGGAAAATACAATAATTCATGATAAAAAAAAAGTTATATTTAAATTATACATGAAAATTACTATGGGGGGCGATTTTTTGTCAAGTAAGTATAATAAATCTATTACCTCAGTCTAATCCTTCTATCACCTCGGGGAATCAGGCGTGAAAGGGGGCTGCTCCTATTTTTAAAAATAAAGAAGAATTTAAAATTATTATTAAAAAATTTGAAGAATTTTGGGGAGAAAATTCTTGAAAATTTATAGATATAATAATAATAAATAAAAATATTAAAGAAGCTAAAACTTGAGTAATAAAGTATTTTATGGATGATTCAGAAGGGAATAAATTATCTTTTTTTGCTATTAATGGGATAATTGATAAAAGATTAATTTCTAATCCTAATCATATTCTAAATCAAGAATATGAAGAAATTGTAATTAAAGTTCCTAAAATTAAAGTATTTATAAATAATATTTTATATAATTTTATAATTAAAAAGAGAAGAAGTGAAATCTTCATAAGTGGGGTATGAACCCAATAGCTTTATTAGCTTATCTTTTTATATCCAAGTATAAAGATGTACATAAATTTTTGATATTTAGAGAAACAGTTTAATTCTGTTGGATATAGACCGAATTGTGAAGGTGGGGGGGGGCTCACATTTTTAATTCTATCAAAATTATCCTTTATTCAGGCACTTCACAATTACAAATATTTCTTATGTCAAAATAAGTGCCTCACATAAAACTGATTGGAAAAATGACTCCTGGAATTTTGTATATAATTTTTTTGAAAAATCAAAGTCCAAAAAATCGATTGAATTTTCGATTTTGGGGCTTTTTTTTTTTTTTTTAAAATTTGCAAAAAAATCGACTTTAGGAAATCTTCGGCAAAGAAAAAAACTCGAAAAATGTTTTTAAATTAATTTTTTCTAAATAAAAATTAATGAAATACATATTCATTATTTATATATATATATATTATAATTTATATAATATATAAAAAGATAAATTCTAAGCAATATAAAGAAGTATTCAATATTTAATTGAAATATCGATGCCCTTACTGGATTAATATAAAACCCTAAATATACAGGAAATTTTAGGTATTCATTAAATACATATAGTGAAAGAGAAAGAAGAATATTAATAATTTAATTATCATTATTGAATGTCTATTAGATTCATAATAAAAATTAATATTATTTATTATATATATAATAATTTTTAATAAACAGGCTAAAATTAATGAAAAAAAAAAAAAAAACCCTAATTTCCATTACTTGAATTTAAATTTGTACGAAAAAACGAATATTTAAAAATTAAATTTGTTTGTAAAGCAAAAATTATATAGGGGCGAGATTTTTAATTTTATGTTGATAATTGATTTTTTTATGCGGTTATAAAAAAGTGGTATTTATAAAATTTGAGAGTATTTAAATATAAATTAATTTCTGATAATAATTAAAGTTAATTTATTCGGGTAGTGAAAGAGTACTAAAAAAAATTCATTATTGGTTAGAGGGCAGGGTAAAAAGATGTAAAAATAATTTATTAGTAATAATTTGTTAATAAAAAATAAATTATTTTAACTATTTTTAAATTTCCTTTCCTTCCCTTGTCCTCTCTGCTTCCCCTCCTTTGTTCGGCCTTGCTTGTTCGCTCCCTCCCCCTTTGCTTTCCCTCCTTTTGTTCGGCCTTGTTTGTTCCCGCGTTTCCGCCCTGTTCCTTCCTTTCCCTTCTTTCTCCCCGGGCCCCGTTCCTCAGCTTGCTCCTTCCTTTCTCTTTTCCTCCTTCTCTTGCCTCCCTTCCCTTCCTCCCCTTTCTTCCTTCCCTGCCGCTTCTCTCGTCCTTTTTCCTTCCCTCCCTGGGCTTCCCTTTTTGGGCCTTTCCTTTTTCCCTGCTCCCTTCCTTTCGCTTTTTCTCCCCCTCCGCCTCCCCTCTCGCCTTTTCCCGCTCTCTCCCCCTCGTTCCTGTTCTGTTTCTGTTTCTTTTTTTTTTCCCCCCGCCCCGCTTTTTTCGTCTCCCCCTTCCGTTCTTCTTTTTTTTCTCTGCCCTTTTGGTTGCCCTTCCCCTTTCTTTCCCCCTCTTTTCTGCCTTTCTTCGCCGTCCGTCCCCTTCCCTTTTCCCGCCCTTTCGCTTTCGGCTCGCGTTTCCTCTTCCCCCCTTTGTGCCCGCCGTTGCGGTTATACAAATAATATTAATTTTTTTAGTAAAAGTTCGTTTTTAAAAATATTTTGTAATAAAATTTTAGGTGAAATTTTTTTAGATATTTGAATAGTAAAACGAAGCTTAAAAATTTTAGTTTAAACTAGGATTAGATACCCTATTATTAAAAATGTAAATTTTTTTACTTAATTAGTATTAGTTATGTTCTTGAAAATTAAAAAATTTGGCGGTATTTTAGTCTTTTCAGAGGAACCTGTTCTATAATCGATAGTCCACGATTAGATGCACTTTATTTATTAGTTTATATATCGTCGTAGTTTAAATATTTTAATAGAATTATAAATATTTAAAATTTTTATTAAAAAATAAATCAGATCAAGGTGTAGTTTTATAAAGAAGAAATGGGTTACAATAAATTTATTTTAAAATAATTTTTGTTAAAAAAATTTGAATTTGGATTTGAGAGTAATTTTTTAGATTTTTTTAAGATGATTAAAGCTCTAAAATATGTACATATCGCCCGTCGCTTTCATTTTAAAATGAAATAAGTCGTAACAAAGTAGATGTACTGGAAAGTGTCTCTAGAAAGACAAGTTAGAGCTTGATAGAAGTATTTTATTTACATTAAAAAGTTAGTTGTGAAATTCAATTTAACTTGAAGATTTATTTTTATTAAAAATTTAAGTATTTTAATTAAAAAATTTAAAATAAGTAAATTTTTGTTTTATTATTTTTAAAGAAAAAATTTTTTTTATGAGTTTAATAGTATTGTGAAAGAATAAATAATTTAGTTTTAAGAAAAATTAATTTTTTGTACCTTGTGTATCAGGGTTTACTAAATAAAATAATTAATTATTATTGTTTCGAATTTAAAAGAGTTAAAAATTTATTTTTTTTGTTGTATAAAATTATTAATAAATTTTTGGTAATAAAATGTTATTCGTTTTTAAATATATCTAATTTTTTAAGAAAAAAATTTAATTTTAAATATAAATAAGTAAAAATCTAAATTAATAGTAATTTTTTATTTTTTATATTTTATATTATAGGGATAAGCTTAATAATATATTTTTATTTAATATGTATTAAAATTTAATTTGTAAGATTAAAAGTTTCTATCATAATGAAAATGTTATAATTTATTTATAATTAAATATTATTTGTATATTATTTATAAATTTTTTATTAAAATAATAATTAAAATTTTTAAATTAAGTAATAATGGTATTAGTATAATTTTAATATAAATTTATTTTTTAAGATTATTATAAAGGAATTCGGCAAAATTATTTTTTACCTGTTTATTAAAAACATGTCCTATTGATTTTAATTTTAGGTCTAGCCTGCCCTCTGAGGATTTAAATGGCCGCGGTATTTTGACCGTGCTAAGGTAGCATAATCATTAGTTTCTTAATTAGAAGCTGGAATGAATGGTTGGATAAAAAAATTTCTGTCTCTATTTAAACATTAAAAATTTATTTTTTAGTTAAAAAGCTAAAATTAATTTAAAAGACGAGAAGACCCTATAGAGTTTCATATTTAAAAATTTTAATTTTTTTTTAGTATAAAAATTTTTAATTTTTTTAATTATTTAATTGGGGTGATTGAAAAATTAATTGAACTTTTTTTAAATTTAAATCATTAATTTATGTATACTTGAGCTATTAGTAATAATTGTAAGATTTAATTACCTTAGGGATAACAGCGTAATATTATCAAAGAGTTCTAATCGAAGATAAAGATTGCGACCTCGATGTTGGATTAAAATTAATTTTTGGTGCAGAAGCTGGAAATATTAGGTCTGTTCGACCTTTAAAATTTTACATGATCTGAGTTTAAACCGGTGTGAGCCAGGTTGGTTTCTATCTTTAATTTAAATTTAATATTTTAGTACGAAAGGATTGAATATTAAAAATAATTTTATTAGGAAAAGGGTAAAATTATTATTTTGGCAGAATAGTGCGATAGATTTAGAATCTTTTATATGTAATTTATTTTACAAATAATACTTGTATTTTAAAGATTTATTAATAATAATATTTTCTAGGTTAATTTTATTAATTTGTGTTTTGATTGGGGTGGCCTTTTTGACTTTATTAGAGCGGAAGGTTTTGGGTTATATTCATATTCGTAAGGGTCCCAATAAAGTTGGCATATTAGGGTTAGTCCAACCATTTAGAGATGCCATTAAATTATTTACTAAAGAGCAAACTTTTCCTTTAATATCAAATTTTAATTTATATTATTTTTCTCCTGTAATAAATTTTTTTTTATCTTTATTTTTATGAATTTGTATGCCTTTTTTTTCTGTTAATTTAAGATTTAATTTATCAATATTATTTTTTTTGAGAGTTTCTAGGTTAGGTGTTTACACTGTAATATTGGCGGGTTGGGCTTCTAATTCAAATTATGCTTTATTGGGAAGTTTACGAGCTGTAGCTCAAACAATTTCGTATGAAGTAAGTTTAGCTTTAATTCTTTTATCATTTTTATATTTAATTTTAAGGCTTAATATATTAGATTTTATAAAATATCAAATAAAAATTTGATTTATTTTTTTATTATTACCTTTATCTTTAATATGATTAGTTTCAAGTTTAGCTGAAACTAATCGGACTCCTTTTGATTTTGCTGAGGGGGAATCTGAGTTAGTGTCTGGATTTAATGTTGAGTATAGAAGAGGAGGTTTTGCGATGATTTTTTTAGCTGAATATAGCAGAATTTTATTCATAAGTATACTTTGTTGTATATTATTTCTAGGAGGGGATATTTTTACTATAATATTTTTTTTAAAATTAGTTTTTATTTCATTTTTTTGAATTTGGGTTCGGGGAACTTTACCTCGATTTCGTTATGATAAATTAATATATTTAGCTTGAAAAAGTTATTTATCTGTAGCATTAAATTATTTATTATTTTTTTTTGGATTAAAATTTATAATTTTTAATTATTTATTTAATAAAGTTAAATTTTACTTTATATATTTAAATTTTATTTAATAAAAATAAAATTTATAATTTTAGAATAATTTTAAAAATTTATAAAGTTTTTATTCATTAATTATTTCTTAATAAATAATTTTTAATAAAGTTTTTTATATTACTTGTTAGGGGAATGGCAGGCAAAATAAAATGAAAGCTTTACCAATAATTACTTGTTAGGGGAATGGCAGGTAAAATAAAATGAAAGCTTTACCAATAATTACTTGCTAGGGGAATGGCAGGTAAAATAAAATGAAAGCTTTACTAATAATTACTTGTTAGGGGAATGGCAGGTAAAATAAAATGAAAGCTTTACCAATAATTACTTGCTAGGGGAATGGCAGGTAAAATAAAATGAAAGCTTTACCAATAATTACTTGCTAGGGGAATGGCAGGTAAAATAAAATGAAAGCTTTACCAATAATTACTTGCTAGGGGAATGGCAGGTAAAATAAAATGAAAGCTTTACCAATAATTACTTGCTAGGGGAATGGCAGGTAAAATAAAATGAAAGCTTTACCAATAATTACTTGCTAGGGGAATGGCAGGTAAAATAAAATGAAAGCTTTACCAATAATTACTTGCTAGGGGAATGGCAGGTAAAATAAAATGAAAGCTTTACCAATAATTACTTGCTAGGGGAATGGCAGGTAAAATAAAATGAAAGCTTTACCAATAATTACTTGCTAGGGGAATGGCAGGTAAAATAAAATGAAAGCTTTACCAATAATTACTTGCTAGGGGAATAGGCAGGTAAAATAAAATGAAAGCTTTACCAATAATTACTTGCTAGGGGAATGGCAGGTAAAATAAAATGAAAGCTTTACCAATAATTACTTGCTAGGGGAATGGCAGGTAAAATAAAATGAAAGCTTTACCAATAATTACTTGCTAGGGGAATGGCAGGTAAAATAAAATGAAAGCTTTACCAATAATTACTTGCTAGGGGAATGGCAGGTAAAATAAAATGAAAGCTTTACCAATATTACTTGCTAGGGGAATGGCAGGTAAAATAAAATGAAAGCTTTACCAATAATTACTTGCTAGGGGAATGGCAGGTAAAATAAAATGAAAGCTTTACCAATAATTACTTGCTAGGGGAATGGCAGGTAAAATAAAATGAAAGCTTTACCAATAATTACTTGCTAGGGGAATAGCAGGTAAAATAAAATGAAAGCTTTACCAATAATTACTTGCTAGGGGAATGGCAGGTAAAATAAAATGAAAGCTTTACCAATAATTACTTGCTAGGGGAATGGCAGGTAAAATAAAATGAAAGCTTTACCAATAATTACTTGCTAGGGGAATGGCAGGTAAAATAAAATGAAAGCTTTACCAATAATTACTTGCTAGGGGAATAGCAGGTAAAATAAAATGAAAGCTTTACCAATAATTACTTGCTAGGGGAATGGCAGGTAAAATAAAATGAAAGCTTTACCAATAATTACTTGCTAGGGGAATAGGCAGGTAAAATAAAATGAAAGCTTTACCAATAATTACTTGCTAGGGAATAGCAGGTAAAATAAAATGAAAGCTTTACCAATAATTACTTGCTAGGGGAATGGCAGGTAAATAAAATGAAAGCTTTACCAATAATTACTTGCTAGGGGAATAGCAGGTAAAATAAAATGAAAGCTTTACCAATATTACTTGCTAGGGGATAGCAGGTAAAATAAAATGAAAGCTTTACCAATAATACTTGTTAGGGGAATGGCAGGTAAAATAAAATGAAAGCTTTACCAATAATTACTTGTTAGGGGAATGGCAGGTAAATAAAATGAAAGCTTTACCAATAATTACTTGCTAGGGGAATAGCAGGTAAAATAAAATGAAAGCTTTACCAAATAATTACTTGCTAGGGGAATGGCAGGTAAAATAAAATGAAAGCTTTACCAATAATTACTTGCTAGGGGAATAGCAGGTAAAATAAAATGAAAGCTTTACCAATAATTACTTGCTAGGGAATGGCAGGTAAAATAAAATGAAAGCTTTACCAATAATTACTTGCTAGGGGAATGGCAGGTAAAATATAAAATGGAAAGCTTACCAATAATGTACTTGTAGGGAATGGCAGGTAAAATAAAATGAAAGCTTTTACCCATAATTACCTGCTAGGGGGAATAGCCGTAAAATAAAATGAAAGCTTTACCAATAATTACTTCTAGGGGAATGGCAGGGTAAATAAAATGAAAGCTTTACAATAATTACTCTTGCTAGGGGGAATGGCAGGTAAAATAAAATGAAGCTCTACCCAATAATTACTTGTAGGGGCAAGGCAGGAAACTAAAATGGACAGCTTTACCATAATTACTTGCTCGGGGAAATTGCAGGTAAAATAAAATGAAAGGTTTACCCAACTTATTGCTAGGGAAATAGCACGTTAAAATCAAATGAAAGCTTTACCAATAATACTTGCTAGGGGACTGGCAGGTTAAATGAACTGAAACGCCTTACCAATAATTACTTGTTAGGGGCTGCAGGGTAAAATTAACAATGAAGCTTTACCAATAATTACTTGCTAGGGGAATGGCAAGGTAAAATAAATGAAAGCTTTACCAATATTACTTGCTAGGGGAAATGGCAGGTAAAAATAAAATGAAAGCTTTAACCAATAATTACTTGCTAGGGGAATGGGCAGGTAAAATAAATGAAAGCTTACCAATAATTACTTGCTAGGGGAATGGCAGTAAAATAAAATGAAGCTTTACCAATATTACTTGTTTAGGGGGAGATGGCAGTTAAAATAAAATTGAGCTTTACCAATAAATTACTTGATAGGGGAATGGCAATGTAAAATAAAATGAAAGCTTATACCATAATTACTTGCTAGGGGAATGGCAGGTAAAATAAAATGAAAGCTTTACCAATATTACTTGTTAGGGGAATGGCAAGGTAAAATAAAATGAAAGCTTTACCAATAATTACTTGTTAGGGGATGGCAGGGTAAAATAAAAATGAAAGCTTTACCAATAATTACTTGTTAGGGGAATGGCAGGTAAAATAAAATGAAAGCTTTACCAATAATTACTTGTTAGGGGATGGCAGGTAAAATAAAATGAAAGCTTTACCAATAATTACTTGTTAGGGGAATGGCAGGTAAAATAAAATGAAAGGCTTTACCAATAATTACTTGCTAGGGGAATGGCAGGTAAAATAAAAAATGAAAGCTTTACCAATAATTACTTGTTAGGGGAATGGCAGGAAAAATGAACGAAAGCTTACCAATAATTACTTGCTAGGGGAATGGCAGGGAAAATGAAACGAAAGCTTTACCAATAATTACTTGCTAGGGGAATGGCAGGTAAAATGAAACGAAAGCTTTACCAATAATTACTTGCTAGGGGAATGGCAGGGTAAAATGAAATGAAAGCTTTACCAATAATTACTTGCTAGGGGAATGGCAGGTAAAATGAAATGAAAGCTTTACCAATAATTACTTGTTAGGGGAATGGCGGGCAAGGTTAAAGTTTATTATAAATTATTCATTAAGAAATTAAGAAAAAAAAATAATTTTTAAAATTATCATAAAAAGAATGGGATAAATATTCAAAAAAAAAATCATTTCTAAAATAATTTTGTTAGAAAAATTTCGAAAAATAAAAACTAATTTTAAAAATTATTTAAAAAAAATTATTATTCAGTTAAAAATCATTCTTAAAATATTTTGTTAGAGAAATTTCAAGAAACAAAACTAATTTTTGAAATTAAGTAAAAAAATTATAAGTGGCTGAAATAGTCATTCCTAAAATAATTTTGTTAGAAAAATTTCGAAAAATAAAAACTAATTTTAAAAAATTATTTAAAAAAAAAATTATTATTTAGTTAAAAATCATTCTTAAAATAATTTTATTAGAAAAATTTCGAAAAATAAAAACTAATTTTAAAAATTATTTAAAAAAAAATTATTATTATGTTAAAAATCATTCCTAAAATAATTTTGTTAGAAAAATTTCGAAAAAATAAAACTAATTTTTAAAATATTTAAAAAAATATTATTCAGTTAAAATCATTCCTAAAATAATTTTGTTAGAGAAATCAAGAAACAAAAACTAATTTTTGAAATTAAGTAAAAAATTATAAGTGGCTGAAATAGTCATTCCTAAAATTAATTTTGTAGAAAATTTCGAAAAATAAAACTAATTTTTAAAATTATTTAAAAAAAATCTTATCAGTTAAAACTCATTCTTAACATAATTTTGTTAGAGAAATTTTCAAGAAACAAAAAACTAATTTTTGAATTAAGTAAAAAAATTATAAGTGGCTGAACTAGTCATCCTAAAATAATTTTGTTCGAAAAATTTCGAAAATAAAAACTAATTTTATAAAATTATTTAAAAAAAATTCTAATTCAGTTCAAACTCATTACTAAACTAATTTTGTTAGAGAATTTCAAGAAACAAAAACTAATTTTTGAAATTAAGTAAAAAAATTATAAGTGGCTGAAATAGTCATTCCTAAAATAATTTTGTTAGAAAAATTTCGAAAAATAAAAACTAATTTTAAAAATTATTTAAAAAAAAAATTATTATTTAGTAAAAAACATTCCTAAAATAATTTTGTTAGAAAAATTTCGAATAATAAAAACTAATTTTAAAAATTATTTAAAAAAATTATTATCCAGTTAAAAATCATTCCTAAAATAATTTTGTTAGAAAAATTTCGAATAATAAAACTAATTTTAAAAATTAAAAAAATTATCCAGTTAAAAATCATTCCTAAAATAATTTTGTTAGAAAAATTTCGAAAATAA